GTGGCGAAAGAAAGGCCCCATCTGAATTACAAAATGCCCAAAGCTTAATTATTAAAAAAAAGCGATAAGGGGGGTAATGTTCTCATGTCTGAAGAACAATATGAAAAAGAAGCTATGAGACAACTTAATGACCCATCTACTTATAGAAAGATCCAAGATAATCCTTTCCCAAACATAATTAAATCACCTAATGAAAAAAATATTCCTAGCCTGCAAAGTAGGTCTGCTTTCTAAGTCTTTAGAAAACTCACCTGGCAGACTGATCGTGTCAGCCATAAAGGGCCCACTGGAGAGAATTGGAAAATATGTAGATGTATTAATCAAAGGTCTGGTATTCAAGCTGCCTTCATTTGTTCAGGACAGACCTGATGTTCTATGGAAACTACAAACAATTGAGGTCCCCCCTGGGGCTCTATTGGTTAGTATTGATGTGGAATCATTATATACTCCTATTCCACATACCTGGGGCCTCAGGGAGGTATCATGTTTCCTGGACACTAAATTCTCTGAATTTGGAGCACAGAACTAGTTCATACTGAAACTCTTAAAATATGTGCTATAAAATAACTGTTTCCAGTTCCTGGCAACTATTACCAACAAATAGTAGGGTCATCTATGGGAGCCCCATGGGCCCCGGCCTATGCTTGTCTCCACCTAGTTTGTGGGAGTAGGAGGAAATATATGGATCTCCTCTGTACCTCAGCCATGTGGCATCCTGGCTGATGTACACTGATGATGTGTTCATGATCTGGAGAGGAGATATGGATGAACTCTAGAGTTCCTCGAGATACTCAATAATAATGAGAGGAATATCAAATTGACATTTGTAGCGGACTACAAAAAACTATCTACTTTCTAGATCTCCAGATTTCCATTTTAGAAGGAAGAATTGTAACTTGTACCTTTCATAAAAAAACTGCTTCCAACATGCGCAAATGAGAGCAGATAGCCACCACCCTGAGTTGTTAATAAAAGGTATCCTGGTATGTTAGTTCCTGTGGGTACGTAGGAACTGCACTGAGGATAACGACTTTAGAAGAGAAGCATCTAATATGTATGACAGATTCAGAGAAAGAGGCTATTCACATAAAGTGATTAGAAGAGCCAAAAAGAATGCATGGTCAAAACAAAAAGAAGAAACAGCCTGATTAATCCATCTTCCCCTCCTGCAACAGGTGAGCACCTGAAGACCCCAGTCAGAATTATTACTAAGTATGGAGCACAATGGAAACAAATTAGGGGTATTCTAACGAGACACTGGAATGTACTCACTAAATCCCCGGCCATTGCCAAAATAGTCGGCACTCGCCTCAACTGGTGGCACGAAGAACTGAAAATCTGCAGGACTCTCTAGTCCACTCAGAGTTTAGCAAAAAATCGGCTAATACCTGGTTTAATAGATTTTATCCCTCAAAAGGTATGTATGCCTGTGGCCATTGCCAAGTCTGTAATTTTTTCGAAATGACAGATGAATTCACCAATTGGGATCAATCAAGACATTATAAGATAAAAGAATTTGTAAATTGTTCGACAACAAGCCTAATTTACATGTTGGAGTGCCCATGTAAAAAGTATTACATAGGAAAGACTAGCTTCGAACACGTATTGGTGAACATGTCCGCAGTATTAAAAACATTAAAAATAATAAAAAAAAAGTGAGGAGGAAAGTCCCCTGGCGACCCACTTTGCTGAATGCCATAATGGGAATCCAAATGGCTTAAAAGTAAAGGGAATTTTTGTACTCCATTTATCACAGAGACGTGGGCACTTCAATACAGTCCTACAGAAGGAGAAAATGTGGATCTTTAAATTAGGTACTCTAGCGCCACAAGACTTGAATACAGAATACAATTTACAGGTCTTGCTAGAATCCTAAAAACTTTCCATGGATGATTATGAAATTGTTTAAATTTGTTCTCAAATCGAATTGGTATCTTATCCAAAGCATTCTCCTGGTTGATTTTCTCTATTGTTTTTAACATCCTCTTCCTCTAGTTCTAGATTTTGATCTTTGTATATTTCATTCTTAGCCAAAATACACATTGCTTTTCAATATACACTGTGGCCCTCCTTATAGAAGATGAATGATTATATTTATTTCATGAATCTTTAATTGATAATTTGACACTTAATAGTATGGCTTTTATTTTGGCTCCAGGCACTGTGCATTAATATATGTGTGTAAGTGTAATTAGGTGAATGGGCGACATCTTGTGGCTGAGTAGGTTATCTACACCACAAGGTATGAATACTTTGGGTTTACAGGCCCCGCCTATCCCTGAAGAAGCTCAAGCGCATTGGGCGAAACATGTAGGAATGCACGCCCTCACGTGCGTCCCGTATGTGACGTCACCATGCACAGAGGCCGTCTCAGCTCGACCTCCATTTCATTCATGGGCAAATAAGCTCTCTTAGCCTCACACTTATCGTGGACTATTAATAATGCTGGCACTGTGATCACTGTACAGCGGAGAACATGACGCCACTTGGCGAGCGGTGGAGTTGCTGCCATACTGTGAAGGACTGCCAATGCGGATGGTAAAAGCAAATGTCACTAAAGGAAGGGTGAGATGCTAGTAATGATGTGCTTATATTGGCAGTGCACCAGCCCCTTAATGCAATATTTGAGTGAAATCTATTGTGACAACCTACTCTGTGTCATTCACATTTCACTAATATCCTATATCTGAACTGCTGTAGACTTTTTTGGTACTCCCTGTTACACAAGTATGCCAGCAGGCCATCTACCTAGGCACCACACGTGACTGTATTATATCATATGCCTATCGATTACGATGTGTTCCGCATGATCAATTTGTCAGCAATCTATATATCCAGGAACGATATAAGTGATATACTTCACTATTACTTTGGATGTTATCTATCAATTGCTGCATTATCTTCTGAGACCCCCCTACAGCTCCATGCTACATTATTTACTATAGCCCCCCCCTCCGTGTATGAACATGGCCGAGTGAGCAGCTGCTTGGGTGACTAGACAACATTGTCTTTTTAACTTAGTGAGGTGGTGGTTAGTGGTTTTAGCTCACTTCTGTAAATTATTTGTTTATATACACTTTTCAATAAAGCCATTGTTGATTAAGCTGCATGGTCCCATTTGAAACTTCCTTCCAGTGGTATCTCTTTTTCCTTGATTTCTGTATGTGATCTCCCAGTCACCTGGCTACGGTCTACTGGTAGATCACAATCTACGGATTACTGACACCCGCTTTAGCACACGTGCACTCCTATGACCCAGAAGAGAAGTATGACCAAAAAATATTTGCCCATACTTCGCTTTTAAAGATATCTTGAGCTTCAACAAGCTCTTTTAATCCAAAGCAACATTTTACGATGGTTGCATATTTTTCGCTTTCAGATTATCATTCTGCTACAACGTACATTAAAAATCTTCCACCCATTAAAGAATAAGTTCACCTTTTGGACAAAAATAATAAATGCACTTTTTTTGCATATAAAAAAATGTGCATTTATCATTTTTGGCCAAAGGAGCCTGTAAAGCATTGCACCATAAGTAGATCGAAGATGCCATGCAAGTCTCCTGCAGACCTATCAGAATATCTGCTTGCTGTACGCGATGTACGAGCAAGCAGATATACTGACAGGAAGCTTCAATGAACTACCACGATGCACCATGGCACTCCACAGTGCCGTGGTAGTTCATTGAAAACTACGAGCCCACAGCTGCTAGAGCTGTCCGGATTTGTAGGCACTCATTCACAGCACACTGTGAATGAGTGACATGGATTCCTGAGCAATCCTATATTTTATTTATTTGTTTCACATTATATACAAGGTCTCATTTTTATTGATAATATCTTACACCTTACAATAAAGCGTGCTTATAGATTTTATTCTCTATTCCTTTTTTTTTTACACATATATTTATTTTTTTTCACATTTTAGAACTATTCTAGCATTTATAAAGTATGTTGTATACTTTCAGTTTTTAAACCTTGCTATTTACGATGGTTTCTTTAATAGTATACTGCTTTTAGTCATTTTTTTTTTTTTTTTTTTTTTTTTTAATTAATTTTGCCCTCTAAAAATTCTAGTTCCCTGGCGGTCATGACAACACTTTGGCCTTAATATGTGCAGTCTCTCATCCAGAAAAAGTATGCAAGTCAAATGTTCTGACTTCACCTGACCTGCTCCATGCTTGTTCATTAACTCAGTATTTAATCCAGAGATAGTCAGGCAATTCATACTTTTTAAAGCAATTCAGAAAAGATAGCCCTGGTATTTGTCCAGTGATGTTTTATGTTTTACGAAATGATTACTAAAATGCACACACATAATTTAGCGTACATGAAAAAACACACACAAGGTCATACCCCTCATTATTAATGGCTTTTGCTCTAACAAAGAGAAAACTATGATTGAGTGGATCGCACATGCTTTAGCTCATGTAATCACTTCCTCTAGCTTCATAACTGAAGGTTTGGACCCAGTACAGGCCTTCAGTTATGTAGCTGGCAGAAGTATTAATGGACTATACACAAGTGGTGATGTCACCGCACTTGTTCTCCATTATTAACTACAATCCCACTGCTGTGGACAAAAGCCAGGTGTTGCAATAGGCATTCAAAGCCAAACCAGGTGTTTCAATATGCATTCTCACTTACTACTGACCTGAACATAGTTATCTCATTCATATTAGTCAGTTTGACAGTCTGATCAGTTTAAAGCAAACGCCCTCAAATTTACTATATGCGATTTTTAGTGGAACATCAGATGTACATTCACAACCTACTGGCCTGACATTTGCATACCAAGCATTAAAAAAAAAAAAAAAATTTGTAAACACTCAAATAGTGTTTGTATTTAAAGAAAAAGGAGCATACCAGTGATTGTTGAGTGAAAAGTAAAAAAGTAGTCTCTATTCAAGCAAACATACTTAAAATGCTACCCAGACTGGAAAATGCAATTCTAACAATGATAGTAACAGTCTAAATGGTTATATAACCCATAGTACTCACCCACCGGCCAAAGTAGATCTGCAGTGGGACTTCGGGTGCAGTGTTTGGGTCTGGACCATAATCCTCCAACACATAGAATATATGCTCTGCATTCTGTAAACTCACTCTTCCTTTAAATGGTATGAATTCCATTGCCTGTTTTATGTGAAAATTATACATGTATTTACAGTTAGTCCATATTCATTACACAATTTACACGCTTGACTAACACTGTTACTTGACATGTGCAATTATAATTGATGGCAGAAGACCTGATGGTAACATTCTACACACAAGCTCAAACAGAAATCTTGAGTTTCCTCTCCGACTCTGAATACATGTATCTTTCAACATCTGCTTACCAAATAAGACAACTGATGCACTGAGGTTTGTTAAATAGTGCTGTACAGCAAAAGGAAATGCTATTTTGTTTATATTGTTAAAAAACAAATGTAAAAGGTTTTACGCTATACAACCCTCTTCTTTATTTTTTTCGAGTTACTACTAAAAGGACACTGTTTTGGAATATTGGAAATTATTTCAGAACGTACTCTTTTTTTTTTTTTTTTTTTATGACATGGGCAGTTTTATTTGTACTTACATATGGTCATGACAGATTATAAAATTGTAACTATTTAAATGTATCATTTGTGACAGATGTTTGATGGTTTAGTCACTTTAAACACATAGTTCACATCTATTTAATGAGAGCATTAGGAGCACTGAGCTATACACTCACAACTTTTAAATGTCTACCGAGTCTAGTCTACCTGCACCTTCATTCCCCTGCACTAGATGTGATGCTGGATTGTTCTGATTACCTCCGTTTGACATTGCACTGCCAATTCATGTGCCCTTGCACTAGCATGTGGAAAGACAAATCAGTGCCATTGTCAAAATTAGCACTCATATCTCATAGAAAACCAGGTGTTACAATATGCATTCTTACTACTGACCTGAACATAGTTATCCCATTGATATTAGTCAGTTTGACAATAAGTATGGATACCATGCCTAGAGGTAAAGCCACAAGACAGCATTCCCAAACATTTCTTAAAGCTGATTTCCAGGTTTCCTTTGACTTTAAATAGTTTGTTTGGACCAAGCTGGTTCAAATGAACTATTTCCTTCACTAAGAGCTGCACTGGCTCTAAGCATGGTATGTAATGCATGTAGCTTCAGCTACATACAGTACACAGTACTGGATTCCCATCTCACACTCGGAACAAAAAGAGTCGGTCTTTGTAGCGCTCAGTCATTTATAGGCTGCTTTATATTCTGTGAATGGATACAAAACTTCCTCTGACTGGCAGAGGCAGAGAGGGCTGATGATATCACACTTTTCAACTCAGCCAATCAAAGGAAGCTTTGTATTCTCAGAAGTACTATTTTGTTCCAGGTGTGAGACGGGAAGTCTCTGTCTCACAGTCGGAACCCGATACTATGTACAGTATGTAGATCAAGCTACCTGAAGTACATACAGACCTCTGGAAGGTTTAATCCCCTTCATGACAAGTACATTTTTTGTTATTCTGCACTGTGCTACTTTAGCTGGCAATTCCTTAGTCAACACTGTACCCTAATGAAACTAATATAATGTTTTGCAAATAGAGCTTTCCTTTGGTGGTATTTATACATCACTGGGTTTCTTATTTTTTGCTATATATAAAAAAAATAAAAAATATACAAACCAATTTTTGGAAAGTAGACAGTCCAAAAGGTATTTAGTGAGAGGCGTGGCAAGTTGTGATTTTTTTTGTCAGAATTTCTTGGAAAATGAGGAAATTAAATAAAATTTTGGGGGGTTTCCACAATTTTGTTTACATACTGTCACCAGTGCAGTAAAGCATCATCATATGACTGGTGTGACAGTGATCAGGGACACTGACTGGTAACAATAATAATATTTTTTTTTATACATTCTTACATACTCTCATCAGAGTAGTTCAGTATCACCATAGTGACACTGTACTATTCTGGGGGGGGCTTGGGGGGTGATAAGGGATTTTTTTTTTTGGTTACACTATTATTGCTTATTATGGCTTTCATTCATGACTGCTTGTTTGCTATTACGATGCTGTGATTGGCTACAGCTAATCATATAGTACAGGGTACCAGGTACCATGTGATAGCTGTAGGCCAATTAACACATCACAATAGTAAGCAATCTGCTATAAATGAAAGCCATTTTTGACTACCTTATAATTATGTGATCACTATGATTGGCCATAGTGAACACATGAAACCCTGGCTACTAACAGCAGCCAGGTACTGAGTGCTGTGATCTACTGTCACAGGACTGCACCACTGCACACCTCATATCAGCACATCGTGGTGCCGTGCCTGCAGCTGCCGCTTGCTCACAGTAAATGTACTGTGGGTGGGCAAAAAGTGGTTAAACATGAAGTTTTAAGGTTCTCCTTTTGTGGTCATGCTCCAGGCCATCTGTTTATGGCAGCTGATGATTGGTTGAAATGTTAGTGGCTCAAGAGAAGGAGCTCTATCAGTACTATTAAGGTTCTTAAAGGCACAGAGGCTTTTTAAAAGGTATAGAGGCATTGTCTATACAAGGACCTAAGAGAGTGCTTGAAAAGGGCTTGATGGCCATATGTAATCCCAGGAGGAGAAGCCATCCATTGTGCTAAGCAGTTTTTGACTTCTTGTAACAAAGAAGTCAAAAGTACTGGTGAGTGCAGTGTGTGCGGAGGAAGATCACTTTATTACAGTTGGACTAATTACAGTGATATGCACTTTATGTCACACATGGATCTGATTGCACTTTAATGGACACTGTTTAAAGGCTAAAGGGGCGTGGTCATATATCTCTTTAGGAAATATCTGGTTTATATATTTGGGACTCATAAGTTTGGCTGACGGTTGCTCTTTTTGTACTTTCTAATTTATATTTTTCATAGGTATTTTATATATATTTTTGTCACTTTATAATATTAACATATGTTAGGCGTTTGGTGTGCTGGTGTTAAGGTATTAATGGCATTTAGAGAAGTGGCAATTCTCCTTTCTTCACAAAACAATTCATGTTAAAAATAAAGAAACATTACTTACATCAATCTTCATAAGCTTTTCTTTCTGTGTTAAGGTCTTATTGAAGCTATGAATGCTAATTTTGTACGTTGAGTTTGGTTGAAGATATGGTACCTAAGTGAAATGGTGAAAATTACTAATAGAACGCAGGCCGAAATACAGATAAACATATGTCATTATATTATTTTCTTACCATCCTTTCCGAATGGTAGCTCTGGATGGATTGCTTTAGTTCTGTTAAACGTTTACCATGACCCCACAGTTCAAACAGAGATCTAAGGGGTTAAAAAATACTTAGTTTACTGACTATAATCATCTTCTAATAGGTTAACTCAGGCAAAGTGCCATACCAAATAAGACCTTTTGATAACTTTTATAAGCATGAGTAAATCTCTGACATGTCAAAATACCAAGCAACAGCAATATGTTTTTGAAAAGCTGTTGTTGAGCTCCCAAACAAGACTTTTTTTAGGTTGATATGATGTTATTAGTCTGCTGCAAGCAGGAGGAAGCAGTTCTTCAGTCTCCCCAGCCAAAATAGGAGATGCTGTGCTCTACTTTTAAAAATGGAGATGTTGTGCTCCGCTTCTAAAAATGCTAATTGCCCATGTGTCATGCTGAGCCTAGTGCTTTGAGTCACTGACCTGAAATGCATATGCAGATAAGGACTTGTGACTGTTCTTTGATTTTCCTGATCTGCATACTTGTTCCAAGTGAGTAACCTGTAAAGTGCTGAAACCATAAGGGTTGATTTACTAACGGCAAATAGAATATGCACTTTGCAAACGTGCAGTTGCTCAGAGCTTAGTAAATGAGGTACAGATTCATATTGCAAAAAATACCCAAACACGTGCAAGGAAAATTTAAAAAAAAAAAAAAAAACAGCATTTTTGCTTGCACATGATTGGATGAGCTCATTTACTAAGCTCTGGAGTGTCCAAAGAGCCCAATCTATTCCCCATTAGTAAATCAACCTCATAGTGTTATTAAACAGCCAAACAACTAGCATTTTTAGAAGGAGATCAAAAATGGGGAGCCTCTCTCTTTATCTTATGGCAGGTTTACTTTAAATTAAAATACAAATTACCAGTAAATTTCCAGAATACATTATCTATTTGCAAGCAGTATTCCTTTTTTTTTTTTTTACCATAGGCTGAAAATGTACATTTTGTAATTAATTGTAATGCCTATTTACACTCTACAACATTACACTAACAAATGGACCCCAAACAAGACTTTTTAGGACAATGAAAAAAAAGATGAAACAGTACATTTTCTGTGGCTTATTACTGAATTGTCATTTTATAAAGCTGAACTCCTCGAAAATATATATTTTTTTTTACTTAGCTTATACAAACAAGTTATCTATAATAATGGTAATCAAAGGCCCATATCAATACGGTTTAGTTTCAAAATCCTAGTCTTATTCATGCCAGAACGTCTTGACAGAGCTATATATCTGGAATTGTGGGGAAAAGATCCATGGCAGTAACAGTAAAGTAATTTTGCCATTCACCCTCCCTATATACCAAACCTTACTTTGCACAAAAACCGTCCGCTTCATTATTTTTCTTGCTAATTCCTCACAAGGGATAGTCAGCACACAGAATGGAGACTGTGAAACAAAAATACAGCAACATTGTTAAATTGTAATGCTCTACCTAGACATCCTGCAATGCTATAAAAACACTTTAATAGATCCAACAACATATTCTACAATTCTTGACCAGGTCTGCATTGCTTAACTATTGATTTGCAGCCACATGATTTGTTTTACAGCATAAATATCTAAAAAAGAGGCCATGGAGTACATGGTTATAGCTTTCAAATATACAGCCATAATATATATGTAAACCAGTTTTTTTTAATGTGTAAGCGGAAGGAAGGGGGGGGGGTGGATTGTAAGATGTGGACAAATCTAATCACGGCCTGAGGAAGGAGCACACATGCTCCAAGTATGCACCTGCCAGACTGCCTCCGTTTTCGGTGACGTCACTGTGATCAGCATCGGATCTCTCAGCTTGCTGAAGCCCTGGATACCACCAGTCACCAGTGCGACGAGTCCTGGAGCACATCGCCTGCAGTGGTCTGGAGTTTACCATGCACAGGAGAAAGCTATCATGTGAAATGCGAGCCTTTACACTGCCTTTTGTAAGTTGCTCTATGCTCTGATTTCACTACCTTACTGCACTCAGAAAGCCCTGCTGTTTCTCTACTTTTTGTACCCATTAAACAAGAGCTTCTACTCTAAAGGCTGGCTGCTCCAGTCTGTGTGTGTGTTTTTAGACACAGTCTACATGGACATTATATTAGGACTATGAACAATTCTCTCTTACCCTGAAAGTCCTCAGCTAACCTAGTGATATAGCTCCTTTTTGGTTACATCCCCCTGATTTACTTATTCCCCCAGTGCCACTATTTATGTCTACTTGTTTGGACAAATCTTAACTGTCTGTGTTGCCAAAAGTACCCCAATATGAAGCTCTCCCACAAATGAAGTAACAAAGATACCCCTCTTCTTTCTTTCTTCTACTGTCTTCTTTTTCAGATGATAAAACACAACTACTCTTTAAAAAGGCATTCTTCCCTTGCCAAGGCAGAGTAACAGTGTGTTTGCGAAGACATCCCACCCAGCTATACCCACATTACCAGCAATCCCATGACCCATCAGCCTCTACTGCAGCCTATACTGCAATTCAATGGGGGAGATTTACTAAAACTGGAGCACTCAGAATCTTGTGCAGCTGAGCATGGTAGATAATCAGCTTCTAATTTCAGCTTGTTCAGTTAAGCTTTGACAATTAAACCTGGAAGCTGATTGGTTTCTATGCAGAGCTGCACCAGATTTTTGCATGCTACAGTTTTTGTGTATCTCCTCCAATGAGTCACAGGGTTGAGTGGAGCTGTGACAATACCCCCCTTTGTCACGTGGCAGTGCACGGGCCTAGCAATTAACTGCTAGACCCATACATTTTCAATGGGCAGAAGTCACATGATGCCCTATATCTGGAAGCACTAAGCCTGCGTTTTGAACTGTGGAGAATGATTGGTTAATGCCTCCAAAGCAATATCTCCCCAACGGGATAAAAAAAAAAAAAAAAAAAACAAAAACAAAAAAAACACACTAAGCCCCCTCCATTAATTTGATACCTAGACTATTGCTTGACTCTTTTTCTGGATGGAGGAAACAGTTTGCAAAAAAAATACATTTTGTTTTTTGTTTACCTAAAACACACTGACACCATTTTTTTAAAAAATCCTGACCTTTGACCCTGACCTTTTTGACTTTGACCCTGACCCAAAACACTTGCCCTGGCACTGAACTAGATCAAAACCTTGATCTACGTATTTTTTAATATTTATTTATCTTTTTTTTTTTTTAACAAACTCTATGCCACCAGTTAGAGAGATACAATGTATCTCTCTCCTCCATTCATAGAGAGAAAAAAAAAAGACAAGGGGGCTGGGCTGTACAATGACTGATCACTGTGATAACCAATCAGAGGCTATCACAGCGATCATGTGACCCGGAATTGGGAGTCCCGGGTCACAATCGTTAGAACGGGACCCGGGCTCTCAGTGACATCTCGGTCTTTGTGCTTGGAGTGCGCTGTGTGGCGCGTTCCCAGCACAAGGACAGGTACGCAAATATGCGGCCACACACAGAAAAAAACTCAGTTCTGTGAGGCCGCATATTTGTGTTACGTCAGCGTCAAGGGGTTAAGCTGATAACACCCACACAATTCTAATTTCTCGTGAATTCATTGAACACAGACATTAAATATTCACAATACTGGAGGAACACTTACGTTAACCAATAGATAAATTAGTTCAATGAAAGCTAATTGGAGCCAATAGTTAAGTCCAATTAATGTAATAGGTTTGGAGGTGTGGTTTAGAGCTACTTCGATTGATAAAAGACACAAACATTTTAAGACTGAGTGAAGAAGCATCAGGTGATGTGAACCATGCCTCACAAAAAGGAGCTTTCTGAAGACATACTGTTTGATCAAGAGTTGTTGATCTGCATAAGGCTGGAAAGGGGTGCAAAGCAAAGTGTTTAGGCATCCAACAGTTGACAGACAAACTGTCTACAAATGGAGACAATTTAGTGCTGTGACTACTCTTCCTAGAAGTGGATGCCCAGTCAAGATGACTCCCAAGACACAATGCAGAATCCTCTAGGAAGTAAAAAAGAACCCATGAGTAACAGCTAAAGGCTTGACATTCTCACTGTAACTGGCAAACAATTCATGAGTCTACCATAAGTAAATCTTTGAACAGGCAGGGTGTCCATGGCAGAACACCACGAAGGAAACCGCCGCACTCCTGAAGTTTGCCAAAGAGCACCTTAGCAAACCACATCTATTAGGAAAATGTTTTGTGGACCGATGAAACAAAAGTTAAATTTGTTGAATACTCAACACTGTGTATGGCGCAAGGGTACAGATTACCAACATCAGAACATCATACTAACAGTGAAGAATGGTGGAGGCAACATCATGATTTGGGCTTGCTTTGCTGCCACAGGGCCTGGACCACTTGTTGTCATCGAGGGAAAAATGAATTCCCAAGTTTAAAAAAAAAAACTATGCGGCTTAGTAGAAGTTGGGTGATACAGAAGGCCAATGCCCATAGTCATCAAAGTAAATCCATCACTGGACTGGCTTCAGAAAATAAAAATTTGCCTTTTGGAGTGGCCCAGATAGAGCCCAGACCTTAACCCACAAGTGTCAAACTGGTGGCCCTCCAGCTGTTGTGGAACCACAAATCCCATGAGGCATTGCAAGGTTGACAGTTACAAGCATGAGACACGATGATGAGACTTGTAGTTCTGCAACAGCTGGAGGGCCGTCAGTTTGACACCCCTGGGCTTAACCCCATAGAAATGCTATGCATGACCTTAAGAGAGCCATTCACACCACACAACCTACCAATGTGTCTGAGCTGAAGCAGTTATATATAAGGAATTATGAAAAATTCCTCATGAACATTGGGGAGGTCTGATTCAGAGATACCGAATGAGCTTGCTTGAATTCATTGATGCCAAAGGAAGTTCAACCAGCCATTAACTCCAAAGGTTCACTTACCTTCAGCCCCAATCCAGTGTTCTTTCTTCTGACAAGATCCCAGCCAATTCTTGGAGTACTGCATACCCATAGAAAGTAAATGCGAGAGGAACTAGCCAGTGCTTTTTTGGAGGAAAGATTGTTGGATTGGGGCTAAAGGTAAGTATTCTTCTAGGTGTGTTGCACTCTTCTGAATAAAAATGTAATCCCCACAGGTTGTCCTTTTTAATAAACCTTTCTAGGCTTATTAAAAAGGACAACCTGTGGGGATTACATTTTCTATCAGGATTTTATTTTGTATATGACCCTATTATGGAGAAGTTTTCTCACTTCCTAACAATGTGATGTCCGTAAATGTAACATGGGGTACATTTGTTATCAGGAAGAACAGCTTGTCCCTTTCTTTTCATTCCTAATATACAGGTGAAACTCGAAAAATTAGAATATCATGCAAAAGTTCATTTATTTCAATAATGCAACTTAAAAGGTGAAACTAATATATGAGATAGACTCATTACATGCAAAGCAAGACAGTTCAAGCCGTGATTTGTCATAATTGTGATGATTATGGCTTACAGCTCATGAAAACCCCAAATCCACAATCTCAGAAAATTAGAATATTACATGCAATCAATAAAACAATTATTGTACATAGAACAATATCGGACCTCTATCAGCCTGTGTTACTGCTGAGGTGTTATGGAAGACCAGGATGCTTCAATAGCGGCCTTCAGCTCTTCTGCATTGTTCGGTCTCATGTCTCTCATCTTTCTCTTGGCAATGCCCCATAGATTCTCTATGGGGTTCAGGTCAGGCGAGTTTGCTGGCCAATCAAGCACAGTAATCCCATGGTCACTGAACCAGGTTTTGGTGCTTTTGGCAGTGTGGGCAGGTGCCAAGTCCTGCTTGAAAATGAAATCAGCATCCCCATAAAGCTAGTCTGCAGAAGGAAGCATGAAGTGCTCCAAAAACTCCTGGTAGACGGCTGCATTGACCCTGGACTTAATGAAGCACAGTGGACCAACACCAGCAGATGACATGGCTCCGCAAATCAACCCAGACTGTGGAAACTTCACGCTGGACTTCAAGCATCTTGCAGTGTGTGCCTGTCCATTCTTCCTCCATACTCTGGGTCCTTGGTTTCCAAATGAGATGCAAAAGTTGCTCTCATCAGAAAAGAGGACTTTGGACCACTGAGCAACAGACCAGGTCTGTTTTTACTTAGCCTAGGTAAGACGCTTCTGACGTTGTTTGTTGTTCAGGAGCGGCTTGACAAGAGGAATATGACATTTGAAGCCCATGTCCAGGATCCATCTGTGTGTGGTGGCTCTTGATGCACTGGCTCCAGCCTCAGTCCACTCCTTGTGAAAGTCCCCAACACTTTTGAATCGCCTTTTCCTGACAATCCTCTCCAGGCTGTGGTCATCCCTGCTGCTTGTGCACCTTTTTCTTCCACACTTTTCCCTTCCACATAACTTTCTATTAATGTGCTTTGATACAGCACTTTGGGAACATCCAACTTATTTGCAATTACCTTTTGAGGCTTTCCCTCCTTATGGAGGGTGTCAATGATGGTTTTCTGCACAACTGTCAGGTCAGCAGTCTTTCCCATGATTGTGATTCCTACTGAACCAGACTGAGAGACCATTTAAAGGCTCAGGAACCCTTTGCAGGTGTTATGGCTTAATTAGCTGATTAGAGTGGGACACTTTGAGCCTAGAATATTGCACCTTTTCACAATATTCTAATTTTCTGAGATTGTGGATTTGGGGTTTTCATGAGCTGTAAGCCATAATCATCACAATTATGACAAATCACGGCTTGAACTATCTTGCTTTGCATGTAATGAGTCTATCTCATATATTAGTTTCACCTTTTAAGTTGCAGTTCTGAAATAAATGAACTTTTGCACAATATTCTAATTTTTTGAGTTTCACCTGTACTGTATGTTATATTGGGCTGTATCCCCTTTGGAGATATTTCCCACATTTTGTGTTGTGACAGGAAGTGAGGGAACCTCTGTCCAACAGAGAGACAGAGTACTGAAAACCTGACAGAAGCTGTAACCCTTATCTGCTCTATCCAAAACAAAATGTAACGTTTTGGCTGCACTTGGGCTTTAGGACAAAGGTTTAAGACAAAACAGGTGTCCAAATTGACATTAAATGTAAATGACATACCTTTTCATGGTCATCTTGAATATTACTAAAATTCCCTCCAAAAAGAGAGTTTAAAGACCGGATTTCCTGTAGAAAAAAGGGATTTATATATTTAAAGGGACAAAGAAAATCTTTTAGAAATAAGACAATGCATGTTAATACTAAGTACACTCTTGGAACACTGTAATGTATTGTACAGCAACACATCACATATAGGAGGTATCCAGCACAATATCAGGCCCATCTAATATTCCTGCATTTTACATGCATTGACATTTATCCCTAAAAAGGTTCAGGGGGATTCATAAAGCATGTATATGACATTCTTTAGAATACCGGAGTTCCTTCACACAACAAACATTAGCGCTTGCCCCAAATTAAACTACTTGCTAAACAAACGTACATGAATTTGAGGCCAGACTCGTGCAGAGGTGCAGTGAGGCTGAAGTATCCACGTGGAAACTCCATTCTCAAAGAAGGGCTAGCTCCCTCCTAACGTTACTCCTGTCACACAGACAGAGCAGCAGCCAAGGAGTTGTGTACCTGGGTGGACAAAGCCTGATGGGGATTCAGAGACACTACATTCCCACCAGGTCCTCCCCCCTTGTGATTGACAGCATGCAGTGGCAGATCCATAACTAATAGACTGCCTGCTATTGGCTATAGAATCTGCCCACTGCATGCTGTCAATCACAAGGACAGGGCGGAACTGATGGGAACTGCTGTCCAGGCTCCACTCACTCTCAGAATCACTGGTTGCTAGGAGGCCTTCAACTCTGAATCTGACAGCATCCGTGGCAACCGGTGACAGAGGGAAAGTAGGGGGTAGTAGTGGCAAACACGGGCCTGTCTCTGTATGCTAACTTAGTGTCAGTCCTTATAACTTCCAGTTGTGCTATCTACGAACTGGAGGTATTTCTTTTTGATTTTAGCCCAGCCAAATCTGTTGTATGTTTCGGTAAAGCTGCCCAAACTGGACTTTTTGAATCTGGTGCAGGAACTTTTCAAGGGCCATACCGCCTGGAAGGCGGACATTCTATGAATGGAGGAGGTGTGGATTAATGTTACAAGAAGCTAACCCCCTATGACTACGTGCCTTCGCACGAAACGCGTCAGAGAGCGGCTACAGCGGTGTGACGTCACGCCGACCGGCGCCACGAGGGCCCCGGTGGCCATTTGCTAAACCTATGTATGGTCAGTATCTTTCCTGCCCCTGCTTGTATCGTGATTTTTTGGGAATAAATACCCCTTGCCATTAAGGTATCACACTATTTGGCCTCCTTTTGTTCTTTGGGCTCCGGTGGGAGCCTTTTACGTCTGCAGAGCGGCCTTTTTTCATCTATGTGTGGCAACACTATCAAGTGGCGAGGGGCTTTGTGACCAGATCTGACCAGATCCATATGAGGACCCTAGGATTATCTGTTCTGAATGCGCATTTGGATTGCGTATCTGGTGAGTGCGCAATCTTTATACCTTTATCACCTCATCCACGAATCCAGTCATTGGAGTTCTTTGAAGACTCTCTTGGGTTTTGATCACGTTATGGACTATACTCATCATCTATAGTCACTTTTTTATTGCACTTTATCAGCACCTTAACATTGGTTTATATGAATGTGTATTTATTAAGTTAGCGCTGCACCTCCCTTTTTATGCATTCTGATTATTTTGAAGGTTTATACGGTACCTTTTTTGGTGTTCAGCTGCTATTGTCTCATTTTTATTTATTAATTTATCAATTTTAGAATCTAATTTAAGCGCTCACTTGCCCTGAGATTTAATGTTACAATCTCCCCCCTTTAATCACAGAATGGCTTGCATTCAGAATAAAGAATAGAAGGCTTTCCTTGAATGGATGAGATGCTGAATGAGCAACCTCCTGTGAAATCTGTACTAGAAGTCTCAGCGCCAGATGTTTGGTGCTAACAGAAGATTGTGGGCTGTCACAGTGTGGGAAACGTAAAGTGGTTGTAAACCCTTACATTGACCCAGTGAAGTGACTGGCCTCAGGTGATATACAGATATGAAACAAATCCTCCTACCTAAGTTGTACCTGTCTATCTGCAGACATTTCTTCTCTACATTTGTTCACCGTTCTGAATTTAAAACTTGTCTTAGCGTTCAGAAAAAAGGTGGCAGTGAACTTAAAATACACTTTGCAGAGCCCTTGAAAGCTGATTGGAGGGAAGAGATACACTCTTCCACAAAGCTCACAGGAACAGAGCTGAGGCTATCAATCTGTTGGAGCTCCCTCCCCTGTCACCCTTTTCTCTTGGTGTCAGGAAAATTTATTTACTCTAAGCTGCGCAGTTCAGTATACATTCACACAGATCCTGTGTGCTCGGATGGCTGAACTCCTGCGCAGCCACAGCTCAGTTAACATTCCAGTACAGATCCTGTGTGCCGAGATGACTGAACCTCTGTGCATGTGCAGCTCAATATACATTCTGACACAGTTCTTGTGAGCAGGGTTGGCTGAACTCTTGTGCATGTGCAGCTAAGTATACATTCCGGCACAGATCCTGTGTGCTGGGACAATGGAACTCCTGCACATCTGCTGTTCAGTATACATTTCGGCACAGATCCTGTGTGCTGGGACAATGGAACTCCTGCACATCTGCTGTTCAGTATACATTCCGACACAGATCCTGTGTGCTGGGACGACTGAACTCTTGCACATTTGCAGCTCAGTATGCATTCCAACACAGATCCTGTGTGCTGGGATGACTAAACTCCAGCACATTCACAGCTCAGTATACATTCCAGTACAGATCCTGGTGTGCTGGGATGACTAAACTCCTGTGCATGCGCAGCTTAATATACATTCCAGTACAGATCCTGGTGTGCTGGGACGACTGAACCCCTGTGCATGTGCAGCTTAATATACATTCCAGTACAGATCCTGTGTGCTGGGACGATTGAACCCCTGTGCATGCGCAGCTTAATATACATTCCAGTACAGATCCTGTGTGCTGGGACGACTGAACCCCTGTGCATGCGCAGCTTAATATACATTCCAGTACAGATCCTGTGTGCTCGGATGACTGAACTCCTGTGCATTTGCAGCTCAGTATACATTCTAGTATAGATCCTGTGTACTGGTACGACTGAACTCCTGCGCATGTACAGTATTTGGAGCTCAGTATACATTCCAGTACAGATCCTGTGTGCTGGGACGACTGAACTCCTAAGCATTTGCAGCTCAGTATACATTTCAGTACAGATCCCGTGTGCTGGGACGACTGAACTCCTGTGCATGTACAGCTCAGTATACAATCCAGTACAGATACTCTGCTGGGACAACTGAACTTCCGTACATGCACAGCTCAGTATACATTCCAGTACAGATCCTGTGGACTGGGGCGACAGAACCCCTGTGCATGCGCAGCTTCATATACATTCCAGTACAGATCCTCTGTGCTGGGACGACTGAACTCCTGTGGATTTGCAGCTCAGTATATGTTCCAGTACAGATCATGTGTGCTGGGACAACTGAACTCCTGCGCATTCGCAGCTCAGTATACATTCTAGTATAGATCCTGTGTACTGATACAACTGAACTCCTGCGCATATGCAGCACTTGGAGCTCAGTATACATGGGATGGCTGAACTCTTGCTCATGTGTAACTCAGTATACATTCTAGTACAGATCCTGTGTGCTGGGACGACTGAACTCCTCAGCATTTGCAGCTCAGTATACATTCCAGCACAGATCCTGTGTGCTGGGACGACTGAACTCCCGTACATGTACAACTCAACATACATTCCAGTTCAGATCCTGTGCTGGGACAACTGAACTCCCGTACATGTACAGCTCAGTATACATTCCAGTACAGATCCTGTGTGCTGGGACAACTGAACTCCCTCAGTACATGCACAGCTCAGTATACATTGCAGTACAGATACCCTGTGCAAAGGGATGGCTGAACTCCTGCGCATGTGTATCTCAGTATATGTTCTAGAACAGATCCTGTGTGCTGGGACGACTGAACTCCTAAGCATTTGCAGCTCAGTATACATTCCAGTACAGATCACGTGTGCTGGGACAACTGAACTCCTGTACATGCACAGGTCAGTATACATTCCAGTACAGATCCTGTGGGCTGGGGCGACAGAACCCCTGTGCCTGCGCAGCTTCATATACATTCCAGTACAGATCCTGTGTGCTGGGTTGACTGAACTCCTGTACATGCACAGCTCAGTATACATTCCAGTACAGTGCCAGTGTGTTGCGACAACTGAACTCCCGTACATACACAGCTCAGTATACATTCCAGTACGGATCCTGTAAATGTGCAGTAGTGACATCATCCCATGCCAGCCAATGAAGACAGAGGCAAGCTGGGTAGCAGATGCCAGTGCTGGTGAGGGCCCATGAACCACTGAAGGTGAGCTAAGCATTGCAGAATTTAGTCCAGCTTTAACCCTTGCAGCGCAGGCACAGTGCCACCGCAAGGAATACAATCCCAGCTTCCCAGAGTCAGGCTTTGAACAAATCCCGCAGCAGCCAGAATTGGGGCACACTTCATTACAGGTACCCGGTATTTACTGTACAAACACAAAAATCATGTTTCTCCTTCAGCTTTAACATATAAAAAATGCAATTGTGTCAAAGAAGCGGGCAATCAGTGATATTCTGGAATGGCACAATGGGATGAAGGCACTGGGACAGCATGCTGCCTCTCACACACACAGCCCAGGGCTCTGCACCCTCTGCTCTATAAAGATGTGCAATACACTGACTATACGTCTCACCGGCAACCGGAACTCGCAGTTCTCCTGAGCCAGCAGCAGCAGATACTTCTTCAGTACAGCACCGCTCTTACAGGACAGCGCCATCTTCCCTGCTGATGTCACGGCCGGAGTGGGCAGGAAGTGTGCGAGCCCCGGGGTGGGCGGAGCCAGACACAAAGCTCAAACAAGGCGGAGGCTGAGCTGTGCAGGTGTGGGGGCAATCGGACAGCATGTCAGCAGAGGGCGAGGAGCAGGGCCCAGCCAGCTATGACAGCAGGTGTATCTTCTGTAGGATCACCAACAACCAGGAGAAGGGCTCCGAATTACTGCACTCTGATGTGAGTAGAGGGAATCTGTGACAACACACACACTGATAGTACTGCACTGGATGGGAGATCTGTGACCACACACACACTGATAGCACTGCACTGGATGGGAGATCTGTGACCACACACACACACACACACTGATAACGCCTACTGGATGGGAGATCTGTGACCACACACACACTGATAGCACTGCACTGGATGGGAGATCTGTGACCACACACACACTGATAGCACTGCACTGGATGGGAGATCTGTGACCACACACACACTGATAGTACTGCACTGGATGGGAGATCTGTGACCACACACACACTGATAGCACTGCACTGGATGGGAGATCTGTGACCACACACACACTGATAGCACTGCACTGGATGGGAGATCTGTGACCACACACACACACACTGATAGCACTGCACTGGATGGGAGATCTGTGACCACACACACACTGATAGTACTGCACTGGATGGGAGGTCTGTGACCACACACACACTGATAGCACTGCACTGGATGGGAGATCTGTGACCACACACACACTGATAGCACTGCACTGGATGGGAGATCTGTCACAGCACACACTGATAACGCCTACTGGATGGGAGATCTGTCACAGCACACACACTGATAGTACTGCACTGGATGGGAGATCTGTGACCACACACACACTGATAGCACTGCACTGGATGGGAGATCTGTGACCACACACACTGATAGCACTGCACTGGATGGGAGATCTGTCACAGCACACACTGATAACGCCTACTGGATGGGAGATCTGTCACAGCACACACACTGATAGTACTGCACTGGATGGGAGATCTGTGACCACACACACACTGATAGTACTGCACTGGATGGGAGATCTGTGACCACACACACACTGATAGCACTGCACTGGATGGGAGATCTGTCACAGCACACACTGATAACGCCTACTGGATGGGAGATCTGTCACAGCACACACACTGATAACACTGCACTGGATGGGAGGTCTGTGACAGCACACACACTGATAACACTGCACTGGATGGGGGATCTGTGACGTCATATGACGTCCTCCCAGAACGAGAGAACCACCTTGCGCCTATCATATTACTATATGGCGGGCAGGAGGTGGTTAAACACAAACTGTGCAGCTTTGACTAAAGTTGAATAATACCCTTGCTATAGGAGTAGGCCATTTATGTACCTTGTGAAGCCTGACTGGAATACTCCCAGGACATTGCTAAGTTGTTCCAGGACATTGCTAAGTGAGACCTAGTCATTACTGCTCACCTTCTCCATCACAGGAGTGAGCTCTCAGATGCTCAGCTCAGGGGGCAGAAAGAGCATGCGAGGGGGTCTGATTCAGAGAAAAAGCTTATTTCTGTGATGGTGGAGGTGAGCAGTAATGACTAGGCCTCAATTAGCAACGTCCTGGAAGTCCTTAGTAACGTCCTGGGAGTATTACTGTCAGGCTTCATGAGGTACATAAATGGCCTACACCTGCAGCAAGAACATTATTCAACTTTAGTCAGAAGCACACAGTTTGCTTTTATCCACAGTCACCCCTTACCTGCATAAGCAGTTCTTTAGTGAAGGTGACCTATCCTTTTAAAGCAGGACTAAAGTCTGCAATAAGTACCTCTGTTTCAATAGTCCCTGGCTTTTTCCAGGTGCCTGTCTTTGGCCAATGTGGGATGACATCACTTCCATGCATGCACAGCCATCTTGGCACACATGTACCATGCCATTGAGCTGCCCATTCTATAGAAAACTGCGAGCAGGCAGGTGTATTGTATTGCAGAGGACACATTGGGGTCGATTTACTAAAATGTAGAGTGTAAGATCTGGTGCTCCTGTGCATGGTAGCCAATCAGCTTCTAACTGCAGTTTGTTCAGTTAAGCTTTGACAAAGAAGCCTGGAAGCTGATTGGCTGCTATGCAGAGCTGCACCAGATTCAGCACTCTCCAATTTTAGTAAATCATCTCCTTTTACAATAAAGAGCCTGTCTGCTTGCCATTTTTTTTTTCAATTTTAGACATTAGTTCCACTTAAAAAAAGTTGAAAGCAGGTTTCCAACCAATTTCAATAGTTTGTTTGGGCTAAGCTCTTTCCATTACTAAGGCCCTGTTCACATTTGGGTGATTAGGGATCGCGGGCAGAATCGGTGTGATTTGGGTGCCATTCATTTTGAATGGCATCCCAAATGTGGTGTGTTTTTTGCCTCACAGGAATCACAGCAAAGCATGCGTGTAAAATCGGGCCTAACTAAGGGCCAGCGTTTTGGTCCCTGAACTCCTTTGGAGAAACAAACACATATAGGGAAGCCCACTCAAGTGAACAGGCTGCCTTATGTGCAACGCGCATGAATCGCACTTTTAAAAATCGCAAGTGGGAACCTGCATTCCTGCAAAGCATTATGTGATGGGGCCTAAGTGATGCAGCCACTGTGTATCAGCTGCATACAGTATACAGCATTGGGTTCCACATCACTACTTTCTGTCTGCTTCCGGAACAAAATCAAGTCAACCTGAGTGCTTCTCACCATTTAGGAGGCGCTTTGTACTTTTATCAATCAATACAAGGCTTCCTCTGAGCACACTAGTAAATGTAACAGTTATCATTCAAGACATGCCTTACTGTCTTGGGAAACAGTTAAAGAGCTAAACCAATTAACAGTTTCAAAACGTTACATTTCCGGGCATGCCAGGATTGCTAACTGTCACATTTTCGTGTTCTCAACCAAACTGTCAAACCATCAAATGCCTGGTGTCATAACTGATCACATGTGCAGTACCATGGCAGTTGAAGTTTAAACAGAAGCTAAGGTGGCAGCTTCCTTGGCTGAAAAGGATGGGAGGGTTTAACTCTGCTTTAAGCCCCCGGTCACATCGGGTGCGATTTGACATGTGATTTGCATGGCAGGCAACTTGCAAATCATATGCCAAGTCGCACCCTGTTATCTGCTATTAGAGCGGTCATATTGGTGTGGTTCCGACTTGGACGGAGCCGCACCAATTTCTAAAGTAGTGCATGCACTACTTTTGTTGCGACTTGCATAGACATTTGTTTGAGATGTCTTGCAAATCGCAAGGAAATCGTCAGGTCACCCTATTTTGAAATCGTGCGACTTCACTGTAAGCTTTGATCGGCTTTGATGTGACTGGGGTGTTAAGCAGAACTAAACCCACTTGTTTAACAGTTTGCTGAAACTGTTAAATTGAAGGCAAGCATGCCATGAATGATAACCATCACAGTTGCTTGTATTCCCAACAGAACTGTAAGCCATCAAATGGCTGTTATCATAACTGATCACATGTGCAGCACCATGCAACTACAGATGAAATAGAAGCTTAGGCAGGCCGTATATCGGCCAAATTTTCGGCTGATAAACTAAAAATCGGTCAGCCACGTTGCCGATGCTGCCACCCATGTCCACGAATAACAGCCGTTTTTTTGTGGATTTTCCAGCATGACCGATAAAAATATTATTATTGTTATTATATTATACAGGATTTATATAGCACCAACAGTTTGCTCAGCGCTTTACAATATAACGGGAGACAATACAGTAACAATACAGTTCAATACAAGAGGGATTTGAGGGCCCTGCTCTTCGGAGCTTACAATCTAGGAGGGAGGGGCTAGTGGTACAAAAGGTAGTAACTGTGGGGGATGGATTGGTTGGAAGAGTAGAAGATTCCAGTATTAGCTGAGGGCAGGATAGGCTTCCCTGAAGAGAGAGGTTTTCAGAGATCGCCTAAAAGTGAGCAGAGTAGGCGATAGTCTGATAAATTGGGGTAGTGAGTTCCAGAGGATGTGGGAAGCTCCGGAGAAGTCCTGGAGACAAGGGAGCTAGAGAGTAGGAAGTCTTGCGAGGAGCGGAGAGTACGGTTTGGGTGATATTTAGAGACAAGATCGGTGATGTAATTTGGGGCAGAGTTATAAATGGCTTTATACGTTATTGTTAGTGTTTTGAATTTTATTCGTTGGGCAATGGGAAGCCAGTGGAGGGATTGGCAGAGAGGGGTGGCAGATATAGAATGGTTAGTAAGCTGGATGAGTCTGGCAGAAGCATTCATGATAGACTGAAGAGGGTATAGCCTGCGATGAGGTAGGCCACTGAGGAGGGAGTTACAATAGTCAAGGCAAGATATAACAAGGGAGTGAATAAGTTGCTTAGTGGTTTCCGAGGTTAGGAACGGGCGTATCTTGGAGATGTTGCGGAGGTGAAGTCTACAAGATTTGGACAGTGATTGGATTTGGGGCTGAAAGGACAGATGGGAGTCTAGGATTACACCTAGTACATTGGCATGAGGGAAACTGATGGTTGTATTATTGATCTTCATGGAGAAGTCAGGGGAGGGGCACTGGCTGGAGGGAATACTAAGAGCTCAGTTTTGGAAAGACTGAGTTTGAGGAAGTGGAGTGACATCCATGCCGATATGTCACTTAAATAAATGAGGAGATCCGCAAAAAACAGCCGATGGGCTGGCCCCACTAACGGCGTGATTATCGGCCGATTTTTCGTGCAGACGAAACGACCCGTCTATGGCCTGCCTGCCTAAGATGGCAGATTCCCTGGCTGTAAAGGATGGAAGGGTTGAGGGTAGAGATGAGCTCAGGCATGTTGGAGTACTAGTGTGATTATTGCCTAAGCTATTCTGCCAGGAAGCTATTGCTATGGACCGTCAGCCATAAGCAGTTGAGGAATTCCCCACCCAGTCAGGGTCCAACAGTTGAGAACCCCTCATTTATAAAACTGCATAATGTAATATGTAATCTTAATTATATAACGTAATCATGGCCATTTCCAAAGTCCTTTTCAATATTTTTTAAATTCCATTCAAATAGTACCTGATGATCTTCCCACGAAGGTCCTCGTTCAGGCGTTTAGTGCCTATTCACACTTCCCTGTTTTTTTTTTTTTCTTCGTTTTTTTTTTTTTTTTTTTTTTCATAAATTCTTTATTTTGATTTTGAATAAAATACATAGAAAATAAGTTTGCAATAATTTTCTGGATCTAAGCAACATTACCACCTCCAAATTAAACTTAGTATTTTTCTTTTTAATCCAGCAGAAGTCTGAATCTAATGTAAGTGCTATAAATTGGATAGGATATATGTACCCCATCAGAGTGCCCCCCAGTGCTAGGTTTCTCCTTCAGTGCTCCCTCCCAGCGCTGGGTGTTCCCATCTCTGAGTGCCCCCTGGCACCAGGTGTCCCCAACAGAGTGCCCACTTACACCACCCCATTGCCCATATAATGGTGATAAAGGCAGACCTAATTCAAAGGCCAGCTTTGGTGACATTCATGACTCACTCCATAGGTGCAATGGAGTAGTGAGGGGTAGACACCCTAGAGCAGAAAGTGGTATTCCCAGAATCACCAGATGAAAATAAAGGACAAAATAGCCTAAAAACAATAAAACTACAGCAGCTATTACTTTTAAGGACAAGTATACTGCAATACAACACATTTTTGTTTAGTTATGCTGTAACCGTATGCAGGAAACACGAAGATTATTAAATGTACTGGATCTAATGTCATTGGTTTTCACAAAAGGTAACTTCTACATTTTTTTTTTTTCATTGTTCAGTCTAAATTACCAACTATAACTATAATATATTGGTATTGCAACTTGGTTATTATTGTACCTTTTTGGATCTTTTATTGTACAGATGTTATTAGGTACTGTTTATATTAATATGATTGATTCTCTTCACAGGAGGATCTGACCTGCTTTAGAGACATAAGACCTGGAGCCCCGCATCATTATCTAGTGGTACCCAAGAAGCATGTAGGGAACTGCAAGACCTTAACCAATGAACATGTACCACTAGGTAAGACAAGTTGCATGTATGATTAGCATCATATACTGTTTTGTTTCCATGGCATCTTCCATGACCACCTAGAACCGTGGTCTCCAAACTGCTGCCCCAGGGCCAGATGTGGCACTATTCCTGCCTTTATATGGCCCTTGGGACACTATTCCACCAACTCATACCAATCACCCTACTAACACCATCGATGGGGCACTATTCTCATTGTTATTAACAATGGGGCACTATTCCTTCAATTAAAACCAGTGATGTCAGATCATCTTTTACTCCCACTGGCCACAGTCCGGCCCTCCTAAAACCTGGAGGACAGTAAACTGTCTCTTTTGCATAAAACGTTTGGAGATCCCTGACCTAGAATATAGGAAAAGTTTCTACCAGCTACATCATAGTATAGAAAATAGAACAAATAAAGACCTTGGCCTTCCACCCTTCTCATTGTCCTTTAGTGCCAAGGGTATGTAGCATCAGTATGTTTCTTTCTGATGTCATAGTTGAGTACCTGTTTCAGATTGGTCATCAAGCTGCAGTGCCAGGTCATATGCCAGGAGTCATGCATTATCCAAAAGTCTTCCTGAATCCAAAGCAAGTTGCTCAGTTTGATTTACTTACATAGAGATTACTGGAGGTTTCGAATTTGCAGTTGCCTGGGGGGTTGCTTTAACGTAGAAGTTCAGCCAAAGCTCATTTGGCTGTATGTCTCCTGTGGATCACAGGAGTGTAGTGCCACTCCTGTGAACCATTTTCAACCAACAGCAGGCTAAAGTCTGCTGTCAGCAGACAGGGGGGGGGGGGGTTTGCAGAGCAGACAACTGTGACTGAAAGTGCTCAGAGTGGCAGGAATAACTGAGCGATCAGCAGTGTCTGATCGCTCAGTTCCCACCCTTAGAACTGGCAGGGGGACAGATGCAGCATTGATTTAAAAACACAAAAAACTTTTTTTTAAAGTGTATTTTCACTTTTCGTATATAGTCAGGACCTAGCGAGCGCACGTGAAAGCAGCTATATGCACCAAAAGGAACCACAAAACCTTTCTGGGACAAGTATAAAATAAAGTGCAGCGCTAAAATAAAAGATATCCAATAGTATAAAAATCATATGTAAAACACTTCTATATAAGTATAAGCAATGAGTCCAAAGCTAAATATCATGTGATGACTCGGTTAGCCCAGTGTGAAATCTGATCCGGTATCCAGGTGAAAAAGAATGGAAAGATTGCCCACTCACCAGAAGCGCAATCTTAATGCGCATATAGAGATCCCAAATGGCCAGAGGTCCCGTGCAGGTACTGCCTGGTACTCGGATGTTCCTCAGGGGGTCCCTCTGTATGGTTGTGGGTATGCCTGGTTATGACTCGCTTCTTTAGCCTGGAATTACCTGGAATCCTGGGCTGGGGTGTGAAAGCTCTTACACCAGAACTCTGCAGAAGCACATTCCCACAAGGTTTGAGATCTTTAGCTTTCCCAGAATCTCATCAGAAGGCTGAGTGACATCACCAGGACGTAACTGGAGGCAGCCATGACAGGGAAACACTGGGAAATGTAGCAAACTACAACTCCCGGTACCCTCTACGAGGGATACTACGGGAGCCGGTAAGGGCCAATCAGCAGACAATGTCGTTGCAGTGATCAGTACGGACTCAGGAAGTGAGATGGCCGGAGAAATAATCCTGTTATACAATGTTTACCAATCCACCGATTTATTTTCACTTTTGCAACCAAATTGGGATAATGCATACTTTTTATGTTTGTTTACATGTTCATTGCATCTTAAAACATCAGATTTCGTTTTCTGGCAACTTCAGCTCTGAAAAATCCTGCTATTTCTCTTTGTTTATAAGGGGCTGGGTAGCGGTGTTTGTGATAATTAACCCCGTCTGTACTGTGCTGACAGATCTCATTATCAGTTACTAGAGTTGAACACTGTGGGGTTTATTTACTAAAGCTGGAGAGTCCAAAATCAGACTCCCTTCTGCATAGAAACCAATCAGCTTCTAACCTCAGCTTGTTCAATGAAGCTTTGGCAATGAAACCTGGAAGCTGATTGGTTTCTATGCAGAATGGAGTCTGATTTTGGACTCTCCAGCTTTAGTAAATAAACCCCTGTGTGTCCTAACAAAGGGGTAAAGATTTAAAAAAAAAATATGTATAAGCTGCAGTAACAACTTATATCTCTACGCTTAAATGGTGAAAATAAAACGCTAATTAAATATGGTCTAACAAAGCAGCCCGTTTGAATAATAAAAATATAAATAAATGAGTAGTTAGAATCATCATCTCATAAACAGCGGTCATGTGTAAACCAATAACACATAAAAAAAGGAGAGGAAATAAAGAAGCTTCCACCAAAATGTAAAATTGTGAATAAAGTTCAGTTCATTTATTTTATTTGGTTGTTCAATCCACCATCATTGTGATCCTGCAGTGATTAACACCCCATCGAATTAAGAACTCACCAGATGCTGGGTCACATTGAGTCAAAAGAAAAAGCATATTGTGTGCATACAACTCCAAATGTACTGACAGCCGCTTTAGCGCCTAGTGACAGTCTCACCACACACTTTCTGATATGGACTCCCGCAACAGTGGTCACGTGATCACACCATGTGGTCCCTGTGTGCGCACTGACATCACAGATGGTCACGCCCTGACGTTTTTCATCATTCCGACTTCCCCTGAGGGTGTTATGTGTTATTGGTTTACATATGACCCTTTGGTTTAGGGTAAATTCAGTATAACAGAGCGCTGTTTATGAGAACGATTCTAACTACTCATTTATTTAAAGATTAAAAGTTGACCACCTGGATCTTCAGACCCCTTTTAGCTTTGGCCCTGACCTCCCCCACCTTTCCAGGCACTGCCATCTGGTGCACAGATGTTATTGCCTGATCTTCCCTGTTTCTGTGCATGTGAATCCCTGGAGGTTTGGGACTTCTATATCCACACCATCTTCATGCATGCACAGAATACTGCATATGTGAAGATGTGCCACAGGGCTGTTGTGGGACCCAAAGCCCTGCGGCTTATCTGTGCACCTGCAGAATCTGGGGGAGGCAAAAGTGCTGCATTGCGATAAAGAAAGTTAAAAAAAAGATTAATATTAATTGAAATTAATATCAGAGAGAGAGGGGGGAAAATATTATTATTATATTATTATTATTTTTTTTAGTGTAAAGGTCCACATTGCCCACTTGCTCCCCAGCATATATGTATGTCCTGGGTGGCAAGCGGGTATAACATTTTACTGCTGGTGATTGACTTTCAGGTAAAAGTGATCTGAATGGCTTCATTATTATTATTATTATACAGTATTTATAAAGCGCCGATAGTTCGCTCAGCACTGTACATTACAAAGGGGGACAGAACATGTGACAGAACAATACCAATACAATACAAAACATGAGGGGATTGAGGGCCCTGCTCTTTCGAGCTTACAATCTAGGAGGGAGGGGATGGTGGCACAGGAGGAGATAGCTGTGGGGGATGGAGTGGTAGGAAGAGTGGAGGAGGTTGGCAAGTTTGCAGGGGGTGGGGTAGGCTTCCCTGAAGAGATGGGTTTTCAGGGTGCGCCTAAAGGAGAGGAGAGTAGGTGATAATCTGATGGGTTGGAGCAGGGAGTTCCAGAGGATGGGTGACACCCTGGAGAAGTCCTGGAGGCGGCCATGGGAGGAGGAGATCAGGGAACTAGAGAGAAGGAGGTCTTGTGAGGAGCGGAGTGTGCGTGCTGGCTGGTACTTGGATATTAGGTCAGTGATGTAGTTCGGGGCAGTGTGGTGGACAGCTTTGTACGTCAGTGTTAGGATTTTGAATTTGATCCGTTGCGGAATCGGAAGCCAGTGGAGGGATTGGCAGGGGGAGGGGGCCCCCTTCCGAGCCCTGTAAAATTGATAAATTCATAGGTGCTTGATCAATTTTACAGGGCTCGGAAGGGGGCCCCTGCCACCTGCCACTGTTCCTGCGCTCTCCCATTCCACTGGACATGGTGGGCGCTTGACCCTTTGGGCATGATTGTTCCAGATGGACATACTTTAGTAAAAGCCCTTTTATTAAGTTACAGTGCCTTGAAAAAGTATTCATACCCTTTGAAATTTTCCACATTTTGTCATGTTACAACAAAAAAACGTAAATGTATTTTATTGGGATTTTATGTGATAGACCAACACAAAGTGGCACATAATTGTGAAGCGGAAGAAAAATGATAAATGGTTTTTAACATGTTTTACAAATGAACATCTGAAAAGCGTGGCGTGTTTTTGTGTTCAACTGTTCAATCCACCATCCAAAAATGGAAAGAGTATGGCACAACTGCAAACTTACCAAGACATGGCCATCCACCTAAACTGACAGGGTGGGCAAGCAGAGCATTAATCAGAGAAGCAGCCAAGAGGCCCATGGTAACTCTGGAGGAGCTGCAGAGATCCACAGCCCAGGTGGGAGAATCTGTCCACAGGACAACTATTAGTCATGCTCTCCACAAATCTGGCCTTTATGGAAGAGTGGCAAGAAGAAAGCCATTGTTGAAAGAAAGCCATAAGAAGTCTCATTTACAGTTTTCAAGAAGCCATGTGGGAGAAGGTGCTCTGGTCAAATGAGACCAAAATTGAACTTTCTGGCCTAAAATTAAAACTCTATGTGTGGCGAAAGACAAACACTGCACATCACCCTGAACACACCATCCCCACCGTGAAACATGTTGGTGGCAGCATCATGTTGTGGGGATGCTTTTCTTCAGCAGGGACAGGGAAGCTGGTCAGAGCTGATGGGAAGCTGGATGGAGCCAAATACAGGGCAATCTCAGAAGAAAACCTCGTCTGCAAAAGACTTGAGACAGGGGCGGAGGTTCACCTTCCATCAGGACAATGACCCTAAACATACAGCCAGAGCTTCAATGGAATGGATAGATCAAAGTATATTCATGTGTTAGAATGGCCCAGTCAAAGTCCAGACCTAAATCCAATTGAGAATCTGTGGCAAGACTTGAAAATTGCTGTTCACAGACGCTCTCCATCCAGTCTGACAGAGCTTGAGCTATTTTGCAAAGAAGAATGGGCAGAAATTTCACTTTCTAGATGTATAAAGCTGGTAGAGACATATCCAAAAAAATTTCCAGCTGTAATTGCAGTGAAAGGTGGTTCTACAAAGTATTGACTCGGGGGCTGAATACAAATGCACACCACACTTTTCCTTGAATGGGCTGTCACTATTCTAGAATAAACAAAAATACACCTGCACTGTTTTTCCCAGTGCGGCACACCACAACAAACGGTAGTTTTTGCACTAACACTGCAAATATCTGTATCTTGATAGTTAAATAATGCTGTGAATGTATGGTATGACGTAGCTTTTTAAAAAATTTCTCCTACCTGTCCCAATAAATAGGTAGGGGCAATCAGCTCTGGCCTTTTGTGCAGGGCTGTGCAAGTTTGTAGGAATCATGATATGTTTCAGTTATTGATAATATGTCTTCTGTTTTACACACCTAATGTAGACATACTGGTAGTCCTCATAAACCAGAGTTACTAATACAGTATGTTCAAGTAAAGGGTTTTTTTCATCTGCTATCATATTAGATGTTCAATTAGGCCTCATTCACATGGACATTCTACAGTGCACACATGTGCAAGCACTCTTTGCCTGCATGGGGATGCACAGCTGTTTTGTGCATCCTCCATGCAGACAGTCCCATAAACTCATCTCAGGTGATTGGCTGGAACCTTACTGAACTCAGGTGGTCAGTATACTAACTAGACAGCTAGCATCCTCAGAAGAGGATTGGCAGTGGCCACCTATGTGTCTCTCAGGATAAGTCTGCTTTAACTAGCTAAACTGCTTCTGTTAGTTCAAATCACTAGTTTTGATGTCTCTTATTTTTTGATGTTCTTAACTACTTTTTTTGTGCTCATCTTCTAGTTCAGAATATGATAGAAGTTGGGAAGAATGTGCTACAGAAAAATCATGTTGCAGATGTGGAGGATATAAGGTAATCCTGTTCTGTTGAAATTGGTGAATGAAGTTGTGTAAATGCTGTGGTGCGGTATGGTGCCATTCATTCTGAATGGTATATCAGTGCACCTCTCCAGCACACCAGCATTGCAGCTCAACACAGCACACTGTAATGCACTGCCATGAATTGGGCTCCCCTAACCAAAAAGCTGCATGCATGATTTTTGGTCTGTTGTGTGCTAGATATACAAATAAACTGCCCTAAAGACATAGTCCACCTTTTGCAAAAATGTAATAAATGCACCCACTTTAATGAAAAAATATGTATTTAATAATTTTTGATTGAAGCCTGCAGAGCATTACAAGCACAATGGTTGCATCACAGGGGCAGTGCACAGGCTCCTGCAGACTGTTCCTCTTTGGGTATGGAGGAGGAAGTAAACAGCGGACTACTAGTGCATTGATTTCACCTCACTTGTTCACCAGTTGGCGCAATGGCAGGTAGGACTTGTCTTCCATTTAGAGATTCCTGTGAATGGATGAGGCGACTGTGCAGGTGGAGCCCTTGTTCACCAATTGACGCAATGTCAGGTAGGACTTGTCTTTCATTTAGAGATTCCTGAGAATGGATGAGGCGACTGTGCAGGTGGAGCCATGCACAGCCGCACTGAACTCAAAAGGAAACAGGCATGTGCAGAGAGAATAACCCCACGACTCAAGTGAGGAGTGGTTTGAGGGTGGGGGCTATGGAATGCAAATATGTTTCATATTACACCCTTAATATGGTCAGAAAGGTGGACTATGCTTTTAATCCAGGCACTTTAGCATGTGGTCTTTATAGTGCAGTAATTTATTTAAAAAAAACTCCAACCACATTGGAGAGGTTGTCATCGAATGAAGGAGGTCTCTAGGTTAGAAGAGAAGTGGGTATATGAATTAAAACTTTTTCCCCTATGGGGTTAAATATTGACTATAATGTCGATTTGCTTTATAGGCACCAGTTAATATTTATTTACTTAAGATTTTGTTTGTTTTATTATACTCTCTCCTATATTCTTATATACATTATATTGCCAAAAGTATTGGGACAGCCCTCCAAATCATTGGATTCCTGTGTTCCATTCACCTCCTTGGCTACAGGTGTATAAAACCAAGCACCTAGGCATGCAGACTGCTTCTACAAACATTGTGAAAAAGTGGGTCACTCTCAGGAGCTCAGCGAATTCAAGCATGGTGCCGTGATAGGTTACTACCAGTGCAATAAGTCCATCCGTGGAATTTCCTTGCTACTAAATATTCCATGGTCAACTGTTAGTGGTATTATAACCAAGTGGGAGTAAATGGGAACAACAATGTTTGCCAACTGTCTGCAGAGTCAGTAGCTAAAGATCTCTAAACTTCATGTGGCCTTCAGATTAGCACAACAACAGTGCGTAGAGAGCTTGATGGAATGGGTTTCCATGGCCAAACAGCTGCTTCCAAGCCTTACATCACCAAGTGCAATGCAAAGCGTCGGATGCAGTGGTGTAAAGCATGCTGCCAATGGACTCTAGAGCAGTGGAGATGTGTTATCTGGAGTGACCAATCATGGTTCTCTGTCTAGCAATCCTATGGATGTGTGTGGGTTTGGCGGTTGCCAGGAGAACGGCACTTGCCTGACTGCATCATGCCAACTGTAAAGTTTAGTGGAGGGGGGATTATGGTGTGGGGTTGTTTTTCAGGGGTTGAGCTTGGCCCCTTAATTCCAGTGAAGGGAACTCTTAATGTGTCAGAATCCCACCTTTGTGGGAACAGTTTGGGAATGGCCCCTTCCTGTTCCAACATGACTGAACAAAGCAGTGTGCATAAAGACATGGATGAGCGAGTTTGGGGTGGAGGAACTTGACTGGCCTGCACAGAGTTCTGACCTCAACCCGATAGAACACCTTTGGGATGAATTAGAGCGGAGACTGCAAGCCAGGCCTTCTCATCTGACATCAGTGCCTGACCTCACAAATGCGCTTCTGGAAGAATGGTCAAACATTCCCATAGACACACTCCTAAACCTTGTGGACAGCCTTCCCAGAAGAGTTGAAGCTGTTATAGCTGCAAAGGGTGGGCCAACTCAATATTGATCCCTATGGACTAAGACTGGAATGCCATTAAAGTTCATGTGCGTGTAAAGGCAGGCAACCCAATACGTTTGGCAATATAGTGTATATGTTTGTATTTTACCATGCCCGTTTATTGTACTGAGTGCTCCATCCTTAAATTAAGAAACGTACAAATAAGAATTCTTTTATATACATATATTCAGATATGAGTATTTTTTTGCTGCTGGGTACTATCCCATTTTTTATACAAACAGGTTTCCATTGTATTTTTTTATAATTTTTTTTTGTGGGAGTATTTTGGACTTCTCCTTAATGGCACTGGACCGGATATGGCACCGTTAAGATGGCGCCGATACCAGACATTAATATCGTGCATTCCACATCCCCGGAAGTGATGTCATTAAGATGGCGCTTATTCCGGAAATTACACCAGAATACCAACTTCGGACATTGTTTCCTAATTGGGGATGGACTATTTAAGTGAGGTTGTTTTATTCTTTTGACTGTTCCTGATGATGCTTGTTCGCGCGCAACAGCTGTAGAGAGGTTTTTAGATACGCAAGAGGTCCTGCCGCCAATCTCATCCGAGACTAGCGACTAAACATGTAAGTGATAACTTTTGGACGGATGTTTTTAATATATGTTTACAGTGTTACTGTTTTTGGATATCGTTTTTTAATAAATTACTGCACTATAAGTCCTTATTCATTGTTGGTGATCTTTTGTGGATTCAATGGGCTAAGAAAGTGTTAGAGAGAGATCTATTCCTTTTGGAGTGCCTTTTCTTGCTCAGGAGCTTCACTTTATAACAAATCATCTCCTGCTGTTCTATTTATTTAGACAGCAGCTGAGTGGTGAGTGTGCACTTTTACTTATGGTGGAGATTCAGCACAATTCAAGTTACCATATGTTTGTTTTTTTTTGTATGACCAGCTAATTTTTCTTTTCTCACTGAGCATTGACATATTTCTTTATAGATTTTTATATTCACATTAGCATGTGGTGCAATGCTGAATACACTGCAGCAGCACTGGCTGGTGTGAATAATAGTAGAGAGTATTGTGCACAGGTTGAGAAAGTACTTTTATGGTAAACAAAACTAAGCAATGAACCTTTTCTATTGTATGGGTGACTAAGTAAAAGTTTTAAAAATACTTCGGATGAAGAAAGACAGTGGATGGATTCCAGGATGCAGATTACAATAAGAATGGTTCCCTGGGGTGTATTTCATTGCAGATCTCCTGATTTGTTAGGTGGCAATTCTGGTATTTTTGTATATTTGTTTCAATGTGAAATTACCTTTTTAGATATTCCAATGCACAGACTGTTAACCTCCTGTCTAACTCAAGAAACACTCCTCCCACAAAGATTCCTACCTCTAAAGTCAACCTCCTTTCGCTCAAGCAAACCCCCTTCCAGAGGCAATCCCCCCAGTAATATTCCCAAAAAGAAATGTCCCTCCCTACTGACAAGACACTTTATCTTAACAGTAAATCTCACTCCCTGGTATACATCCCAGACCTCAGTGGCAGAGAGGTAGGGGAATTCCTCCATCCCAGACCTTGTTGGCTGTATCATATGACACTCCATAGCTGAGACTCTGCACTGCTTATTGCCTTCATATCTGACTGCAGTGTCTTTGAGAAGCAAGAAAAAAAAGTTGCAGTATCGAAACCTGTCACTTCCCAGGAGATACAGGCAAGTGCTGTTACTAGCTATACCCATGGCCTCTTAATCCCCCTGTTGATCTGATGAAGCCCAGTGGCCCCAGGTGATGGGTCCGGGAAGTGCAACTGATATCTGCGGGGGGCACAGCCCACCCCAGTACCCCTCTAGATGTGGCCCTGGGCCAGTTTAACCTAAAGTCAGTAAACTAATTTATACTGCTAAATATATTACAACAGAACTAAAGGCAAAACTTTTTTTTTTTTTTCTTTTCATTTTAGGATTTTTTTTTTTTTTTGGCTATCTATGTCCCATTGGGGAGATTTCCCTTTACTTCCTGTCCCATAGCCAAAATGGATAGTGAGACGAAATTCCTCCAATGTGAGGGAATCTCTGGTTGTCATCAAGGTCACCAGATTTAATGTCCCCATCATAAAATTTCCCTTTCATTGCTGTTCTGGGGATAATTCAAAATGTGTAGTTTTTCTTTCACGTGCTCAACGATAACCGTAAACAAGATACATGGGGTGAATCTCCTGACAGATGGTGATAAAAACCCAACAGTGGTTCTTATCCCTCTCCACTCTATCCAAACCAGAAAAAAGTTTTGCCTTTAATTATACTTTAAATCTTAAAGGAAAGACTATGGGTATATAGGGGGTTAAATGTTGAACATCTGGTAATACTGTGGTCCGCATCCTCTGCAAAGTGCTTTGCATTAGACATCCTTGATTTCTTAATGCTAACCACTCATTGATTTTTATTTTTTTTTTTTCTTTTAATATCAGGTTAGGTTTCCATTGGCCTCCTTTCTGCTCGATAGGCCATTTGCATCTGCATGTTCTGGCTCCAGCTAGCCAACTGGGATTTCTTTCAAGAATGATTTACAGAATAAATTCTTATTGGTTTATCACGGTAAGTGCTTGCTGCAAAATTTTATAATCAACACAGTACTCCCATCTGAACCAGGAGGAGAGACAAGCTCACTGCACACATGCAGGACAAAGCGACATTGTCTATTATTATACAGGATTTATATAGCGCCAATAGTTTGCGCAGCGCTTTACAAAATGAGTCTATGCTAAGGGTCACTTTTACGATCATTCCATTGACACTTCTTCCTCCAAAGCTAGCTTCAATATTCAGTATTTCAGGGTTTGAAGGAGCATGTGAACTCCTTCCCTGTAATAGTGCTCGGGTCTAGCAGTCAATTGTTAGACCCAAAAATCTTTTGCATGACCAGGGAGTGATGTTGCAATCAAATACCACCAAAAGAAAGCTCAATTCGTGGGAAATAAAGGACGTAAATTTCATTTGGGTGCAGTGTTGCATGACCGTACAATTGTCAGTTAAAATAATGCAGCGCCGTAATGCAAAAAAATGGCCTGGTCAGAAGGAGGGTAAATCTTCAGGAGGGCAATATAGGGCGGTCGGGAAGCGGTTAAAGCCTATGCAACTACAAGAATATTGTAATAGGTCTTAGATTGTTAAGGCTGAAGGTTTTTTACCTTCATGCATTCTATTCTATTCCCCGGGCTCCTAATACTTATCTGAGTCTGATCTTGATCCAGTGATGTGCACGAGAGCTCTCCCGGGTCTGTCCCTACTCACTGGCTCAGACACAGCAGCGGGATCCATTGGCTCCCACTGCTGGCAATCATAGTCAATGAGGTGGGAGCGGGGCTGGTCCCAAGCTCTGTAGGTCTTATAGAGACAGAGGCGGCTCAGGAGCGAGCACACACGAGTGTCCCCAGAGCAAGCATCTTGCTCTGGGGGCACTCAGCAGGGGGGAGGAGCCAGGAGTGCTGGCAGGGGACCCAAGAAGAGGAGGATCAGGGGCTGGTCTGTGTAAAACCATTACACAGAGCAGGTAAGTATAACATACTTGTTATTTTTTAAAACAGAAAATCTGAACCTTTTGGTATCACTGTAATGCTTGAGTAAAGATTATCTAATATTTAAAGTAGAACTAAAGTATTTTTTACTGCAAAAACAGAAATTGCAATTTGGAAGTTGTGCATGCATACATACCTAAAAAAAAAAAAAAAAAAAAACCTATTTTACCTTTTTGTAATTTCCATATTTCATATTATCCATATGTCAGCATATGCATTAGTGGTAAGTGATGAAGGGGTGCTACCAGCTGAGGGAAGTTCTCTGTAGGAATCATTTTTATTATTATTTGGCAAGTACTGGGTGTGTAATAGGGTAGTTGTATCCCCACCCAATGTCTCCTGTTCTGCGCTTTTTTAAGTCAATTCTTGCTTGCTTCAGAAAAATGCACTGTCAACAAATGAAAAGGGAGAACACAGGATATGACTGGGACAAGGAAATTTGATCTGTTCAGTGATGGTCTTTGTCCTTTTGTACAAATATAGGGTCATAATGACACACAAAGAGGGGAAGTGTGGAAAGCCTATGACCTCTGGGCTGTTCGGATAGCAGAGCTGAAGCCAAAAGGCCATAGAGAATCCCAGGTCCCAGTTAGTTGCTGCATATCTGTTCATGGTCAGGGGTCAGGTACATCATTTTTGTACTTGAGTGTTATGTGTTACATTTAAAAAGGCCATGCTACTCAAATGCGTACTTTCTGTTGCAAGTGTTTGATGTGCTTTGCCTTTGATGCAAATGAATCTCAAAGGGGTATGGTTTGTCCAAAGTAAAAGTCAAACGCAGCATATGAAAAGTCATCCACACTAACACATTTAAACAGAAATCTGCAAACTTGTGATTAAAGTGCACTTTAACCGCTAGTCTACAGGGCACTTATACCCCCTTCCTGCTCAGACCAATTTCCAGCTTTCAGCGCTGTCGCACTTTGAATGACAAGAAGAAAAATCTGCTTTACTATCCCTTTAATATAAGAATATATAACTAAAACAAGACAGGGAGGGTGGGAAGGGGTTTAATTCTTGCCTGGAGATGGGCTTCAAGAACTTATACAACTAATGGAGCCTTAATGGAATTTCAGTCATGTAATGCACATTTTATCAGGGTTGTAAAAATGAAAGAACTGTTGTAAACCATGTGAAGACCTCTAGCTATGAAAGGGTTAAACCCAAAGTAGAAGGATTTCAGTGAGAAATATATCTTAGTACCAAAGACAGAACCTATGATGTTTAATATGTATTGAGGGTGGATCTGAGTATGGACCACTGTGCTGTGTTTTCTATCACCAGTAGCTAAAAGCAGCAGCAGCAGCTTTCCGTCTAATGAAATTACATTTGTTGTTTTCTATTCTACAGGGGACCGATCAGCTACTTGAGCGCCTTCAAGCAAACACAGCTACAAGCTGAAATACCATTTCTTCAAATGTTTAGATATCATTCCAGAAGGATGGGTCACACTCTGCCAGTCCAGCTAAGATAGAACACTGGATTGAATCTCACAATCGTTTATTAATGAATGAGGTGTGTTTATTCTTTGAAAGCAAGCAGTGAAAATTACTAATGTACTTTATATAACATGCTCATATTGTAGAGCAGCTGAAGAAGGATGTGTATATTTCAGAAGATCCTGTGAGGACTAACGCATGTTATTTATTTTAGAACTCTTATATATATATTTAGTAGGCTGCCTCTTAATAGAAGTACAAATTACTGAGTAGCTACTTCTGATCATATAGGAGGCACAGCATTTAATTATTGTTTATATTTTGCAGTAGGCCCCTCAGCCTGACAATTTTTATTCTGGAAGATACTGTCATGCTGAAGACACCTTGTGCATAAGCCCTGGTTTACACCGATGCGATATCTGATGCCTTCCAGAATGCATGGAATCGCATGACCAGTAAAATAACATGAGTTTCTATGGAGGCTGTTCACATACATGCAGTGCAGTTCTGATGCAATTTTAAAAAATGTCCTGTGCGAGTTTAGTGCAGTGCAGTGCGATTTGTAGACTTAAATGGAAATTGCTTAGCTGTCCAAAGATAACACGATTCCAGTACTTTTCTGCAAGTCTTTGCTTTGTTTCTTATCTCCCATTCCTGATCCATGTCAGGAGAGAGAGACTGACTGAGAATGCTGCAATTTGGCAGAATCACATCTGAATCGCTGAACAACTACCCTTGAAATCACACTGAAACCGGCAGGAAAAAAATGTGTGAACCTAGCCTAAAATAATGCATTATAGACAGTTCTATGTTTTATTTTAACCTAATTCAAACTCTCTTTTTGATTAAATGTTGCATCTCTTCCCATCTGTTCCAGTGCTCAATTACCTAGCATCTATTTCTATCTTCATGCTTTTTGGCTTAATGAATTTTGGTTCTTCTCAGTAGTGGGACTTTGGGGGCAATACCTGCAAGGTGGCAATGGTTGGCCGCAGTTGGCTACTCATTACTTGGTAATAGGAGGCTTTCACACAGGGATCTTTATGAAATATCTACATCATTTGGTAAGCAGCCCCAGAAAGTACAACCTCAAACCATCCTGGTGCTTTTAGACTGCTTATCTGTAGTTTACTAGCCAGAAAATGTCCATAAGGCTGCAGTATTTCTTATAAAGTCATTAATAGGTCTTTTTAAAACTTATAACAACCTTTTAACTGCCTTACTCATGGCATTTTACAGTTATCTTTTGTATCTTCTGCTATAGCTTACTGTATATTAAGGTTGGAATGATATCAATGCAAAATGTTACTCTCCAGTTGATTTCCTATCTTTATATTAAATATTAATTTATTGTGTTCTTTGTGTTTTTGTAAAAGTAGATTTTCAGGTATTTCAGTATTGCACAGGGATGTAAGTATACTGCCTTCTTTATATTTATAGGTTTTGTGGTAGTTACACTTCTGCCACACTGCAGAGCCAAGAACATCACTCCTGGTTTAGTTTTCCTGCTACCAACCACATCCCTGCCAAAAGCATATTGTCAAATATAACGGTTGTCTGTATTTTTATTACAATGCTGATATTATAATATGAAAGTGTATCCTGTGACCATAGAACTCCTTTAGGGCCCGTTCACACCACATGCAGTACAATGCTTTTTTTTTTCTGCATCAAAAACACATGGAAAGTAGGTTATGACAGTCATCACCAGTGCATTACAGTTTCAGGGAAATAAAAAAAAAAAAAAAAAAGTACAACATGCTGCATTTTTCCTGCGCAGAACTGTACAGGAACGTACACCAGACCCCAGTACAGTGCAAAAAAAGTCAGAAAATAAAGCGTCTTGATCGCATCCAGAAACGCATCAAAAATGCATCAGAACGTGTTAATACTACACATGCAGGAATACATCTGGAACAGATCTGGAGGACATTTTTGTTGTGTGATTGGGCCCTAAATCTAAGTTTTTTGTAATTCATGACACACTTCGCAGGTTCAGTTGGACTAATATACTTCCTAAATCCCGTGTATTGTAACTTCTCACTCTGTTTGCCTTCTTCATCACCAACCAAACTTCAAAAGCAGGATTGACTCAACTGGTGACTTAGAGAAAAATATTAGTATTGGCATTTTTTTAATCGGGTAGCAAGAGAAGGCACAATCCAGGATAACAAGATCACAGACCAAAGGGATAGTCCAGTACATCAATTCCAAAGCGAAGGCTGCACTACTTGTATGCATCATTCTGATCTTTCATTATCTATGCCAGACATTCTGCAGTGCAATATACCCTTGTTCTAAAACAGGAATGCTAGTTTTGTAATGAAAATTATCTGACAGTTGAAAACTCAAAAAGCAGTTCAAAGTCTAGCCCCCCACTACTGTATTGCAATAATGCTGTTATTGGAAGTGGCGTGGGGTCCTTTTCATATTTTTATGAACAAAAGCAGCACTGTTGCCTAGCATACTTTTACTCTTTTTTTTTTCTTTCTTTCTAAAGTAGAGCTATGTTGACTTTGCTGGAAGATATTACCTTCCAGATGTGTGTAATCCTAAAGATCCTGTTGTGTAGTGCATATGATGAGGTGCTAAGTAAAGGATCATCTATTGATGGTGTGTAAAAGCTACCAGGTCTTCGATCAGTAGTTTCCGGTGTCAGAAGCCTTCTTCAGAGAGTTCTACCATTTTGTAATTTTTCAGGGTGCAAAACCTGTCCAAGGCTACTGGCAGCAGAGTTGAATCTACCACTCTGGGATCCAGTAAGTTGGTTAACATTGGTTTACAATAAAATGAGCATTTTTTTACTCTAACAGAGTGATAACAACCTGATCATCGCGTCCTTGCCACAACATCTCTCCCTCAAACTGAAGCAGCCCGTGTTTTCTGGCCCTCAGTAAAACACCCACAACCTTGTTGGATATAGTCACATATGCTTCAAACAACCTCCCAAATGTGACTCTAGTAAGTCCATCCTCTCCCTTCACTCCGATTGTTCTCATGACAAGACACAGGTCCTCCACTTCTTTTCCTACGTGCCTGTGAGCATCCTTTCCTCTCTGTTCTGTTTGGGAACCAGCTTTTGGTTTGCCATAGTCTGGATGTTGTGTGTCTAAATGGGCAGCTCCAGGCTGTATGTCATTGCTAAAAGGGTTTTGCTTCTGATAATCTTCATGCTCCTTTGCCCAAGTTTTCCATGTCTTCTTAAGATCACCAACAGAGTTGCATCCTTGCGCTTTGCTTTTCTGTTGGAAATGATCCATGACTTATTCCTGGTCGTATCCATTCAATGGTTGGTCAAACTAGGATAAATAGACACACTTTTAAATGAATAACCATTGTCAAAAAATAAACTTTACTTTTAAAGTGTTGCTAAACCCACAACAGTAACATCAGTCTGTATATGCAATAAAGCATGCTTGTTATACTTACTGTGTAACCTAAGGGGTTAATCCTCTACATTGTGTAAAAAGGCAGTTTGATCCATTTTTTTCTGTGTTCCTCACCGTTTTCAAGCGACCACCTCTTATCTCCAGACTAAACCATAGGCATGCACATGCTCAGTTTGGTGTGCATTGCTAGAGAGGATTTTTTTTTTCTTGGGAGGCTGCATGTGATCAGCACAGTGCCAATCAGCACTGTCCTAGAGCTGAAGAAAACCCCTGCTACAAGCTTTAGCTATTGGTGGGCTGGACACTGATAGAAGTCACACGACTGCTTTAACTTCTGATGAGAATCGGTATTTAGCAGTTTGTTTACTAAAATAATTGCATTTCCATGTTCTGTGTACTGTGGGAGACCAGATATAGTGGATGCAAGGTCCTGGGTTTACTAACACTTTAAGACCTCATGCACACAGGGCATTTTTGCAGCCACTTTTTTTTACAGCTTCCAAACGTCCCTCAATGTTATCCTATGTGTCCATGCACACATAGGCTTTTGGATGCTTTTAATGGCAGGGGCTTTTAGGAGCTGTATTAAAAAAAAAAAACACTGCTAGTGCATCCAGGTGCAGCAGCATTTTGGCAGAAAAAAACTCTTGTCTCGTGTAAATTTTATTTCAGGTACTTGTATAGCGCCGTCAATTTACGCAGTGCTTTACATATAAATTGTACATTCACATCAGTCCCTAACCCTCAAGGGGCGTAAAATCTAAGGTCCCTAACTCACATTCATAATCAAGGGCCAATTTAGACAGTATCCAATTAACCTACCAGCATGTCTTTGGAGCGTGGGAGGAAACCGAAGTACCCGGAGGAAACCCACGCAGGCACAGGCAGGAGGTGCTGTGGCTGGGATTTGAACCAACAACCCTAGTGCTGCCAGGCGGAAGTGCTAACCATTTAGCCACCGTGCTGCCCATCATTATATCAAATGTATCTAAAGGTGCCTAAATGCGTGGTAACTGATTTCAATGGCCAGATTAAATTATTATTCTGGCCAATTAAATGTATTAACGCCCAAGCGCTTGACACCTATAAATGCTCCTAATTTCTTGTAAAAGCATTAGACACTTTTACAAGCGTCAGGCGTCTTTTCTGCCAAAACGATGCTGCTAACTGCAGCAGTGTCTTTAAAACATGCTGTGTGCATGAGGCCTTATAGTACCATAATGGATGCTCACTACCAAGGCTTTGGTTTACAGCTTCTCCCATAATTTAACATAATTTCCTGAGATTCACTGATTTTAGATTGAATGGCAGAATCTGCACACTAATTTGTTCTTCAAGTGAATGTCAAGCCAAAACCTATGTTCATTGAATGACACAGCCTCTTTATAATCTTGACCATAGGGTTATACAGCCTCCTACTGGAGTGGGACAACTGTGTCCAACTCTGAACTCAGAGAAAGGTATTTTATGGTAACAAATAAATTCTGTTTTTCTGGTAATAGGGCAGCTTTACAAATTTTCTGAACTAACCCTTTCAAGAGAATTCAGGCACACAGCCACGTACATAGCCAAA